GAAGCAGTAGTCAAGAAATCAAATTACATATTGTACTGAATGTATTGTATTGTATTATCTGCTGCATAAGACCTCTTTAAAGTGTTAAAGAGCAAAGATATCAGTTTGAGGACTAAGGTGCATGTGATTGAAGCTTTGGTATTTGTCATTGTCTCTTATAAATGTGAAAGTGGGAAGATGAGAAGATGTATTTGAATCATGGTGTTGATGAAGAATATTGAAAGTATCATGGACTACCAGAAGAATGAACAATCTGTTTTGAAGGAACGAAAGCTGGATTTCTTCTTAGAAGACCATGTGGCAAGACGTTGTCTCTCATACTTGGGCCACGTTGTCAGATAGGCAGAGTTTCTGTAGAAAGAGCATGTTTGGTAAAGTGGAGGGTCAATGGAAATGAGGAAGACCCACAATAAGATGGACGGACACAGTGACAGCAAGAATGGTCTTAAATAACAACAGAGTTCAGCATAGTGCAAGACCAGCCAGTGTACTGTTCTGCTGTACATAGGACAGCTATGAATTGAAACCAATTGAGGACCCCTAGCTCTGGTAGCGTAGTGGTTACAAATTGGGCTGTGAACCGCAAGGTCAGCAGTTTGAAACTACCAGCTATTCCATGGGAGAAAGATGAAGCTTTCTGCTCCCGTAAAGATTTACGGCTTCAGAAACCCTGTACAGGGTCAGTATGAGTCGGAACCAACTCCACGGCACATGACAACAACAACAGCATCAACAAGCTGAACTTACGAAAAATATTTCTGTTTTTACCACTAACTACAGGGATATTTTTATTTTAAAACAAATACATTTCTACTACCACACTGCAGAAAAATTTCATAGTCATTTTAATGTCGACTCTTCTGATAGTATCACCTGTTAGAGCTCACATCCTCCCTCCCCGCCCTCCCCTCAACTCTTGGCGCCCCCACTTTTCAGAGCACTTGTTTTGCAGTTGAGTTCACATTTTTTGAATGTGGTGCCTGTCGATATGGAGCTTCAAACCTGGGGTGGTTTTCTTGTCTCATGGTACTTCCCCTTCCCTTTGTGTGCATTTGTCTTCCTCTCTGTCTACACCTCAGGCCACTGTTTGAGATCCAGGATCCTGCTCTTGTTCTGTTTCAAACTAGAGACCTCTGGGGAGGGTGTCCTTGCCCTGCTCCATGTGGGCAAATGTGTCAGTGAAAAGGTGCACTTCACTGCTCCTCCAGAGAACCAAATCACCACATGTGAAACCCACTCCGGAACAATAGACACAAAGACAGAAACAGAGGTGGAGTTCGCTTGGTCCTTCTGCTAGGCATTGCTGCTCTGGAGCTCTTTCACCACATAGTTATGTCTTAGTTCTTGCCAAGTAAGTATTTGGTGCAAATGACAAGACGTGTTTCTTGTGACCTAATAAATATTAATGGCTCTTCCTCAAACTTCAAAGCAACTCAAGACTGAGCACAGGACATACAGCTGCTGAGGCTTGTGTTATCTCCCTCTGCTCCTATTGTTATTGTTGTTAGGTGCCATTGAGTTGGTTTGACTCATAGCTACCTCGTGCACAACCAAATGGTCCTGCGCCAACACATGTGCACAACACAGCCCAGTCCTGCACAAACCTCACAATTGTCATTGCGTCTGAGCCCATTGCTGGTGCCACTGTGCCAACACATCTCTCTGGGAATCTTCCTCTTTTTTGATGACCCAGCTCTGGTAGTGTAGTTGTTACGAATCAGGCTGCGAACCTTAAGGTCAGCAGTTCGAAACTACCAGCTGTTCTTCTGGAGAAAGATGAGGCTTTCTGCTCCCGTAAAGATGTACAGCCTTGGAAACCCTATACAGGGTCGCTATGATTTGGAACTGACTCCATGGCACAGAACCACCACCACCACCACTTTACCAAGCATGTTGTCCTTCTCCATGGACAGGTCCTTCCTGGTAACATGTCTGAAGTATGAGAGATGAAGTCTGGCCATCTTGGATCTAAGGAGCATTTGGTTGTACTTCTTCCAACATAGATTTGCTTGTTCTTCTGGCAGTCCATGGTATTGCTAATATTCTTCTCCAAACCATAACTCAGATGCATCGATTCTTCTATGGTCTTCCTAATTCATTGTTCAACTTTCACAAATGTAAAAAGTTATTGAAATTCCATGGTGTGGGTCAGGAGAACCCGAGTCCTTAAACTATTATCTTTGCTCTTGGACACTTTGAAGAGGTCTTGTGCAGCAGATTTACCTGATGCAGTATGTAGCTGAATTTCTTGAGCGCTGCTTCCATGAGTGTTGACAGTTAAAACAAGCAAAATGAAGTCATTGACATCTTCAATCGTTTCTACATTTAACTTGATGTTATTTATTGGTTCAGTGGTGAGGATTTTTGTTTTCCTTACATTGAGGTCCTACCCACACAGAAGGCTATGGTCTTTGATCATCATCAGTAAGTATTTTAAGTCTTCTTCGTTTTCAGCAAGCAATGATGTGTCATTTGCATATTGCAAGTTGTTAATGAGTCTTCCTCCAATCCTGATGCCACCTTCCTCTTTATATAATCCAGCTTCTCAGTATGGTGAAATAACACAACCCTGGAAGACATTTCCTTATTTTAAACAATTCAGTTTTCCGTTACTCTGTTCAAAAGACTGCCTTTCGGCCTATGCACAAGTTACTTAAGTGTTCCAGAATACTCATTCTCCACATTGTTGTACTTAACTTGTCATTATCCACACAGTTGAACACTTTTGCTCAGTCAATAAAGCACAGGTAAACATCTTTCTGGTATTTTCTGCTTTCAGCCAAGATCCATCTGATATCAGTAATGGTATCCCTGGTTTCACATTCTCGTATGAATCTGGCTTGAACCTCTGGCCATTCTTTGTCAGTATACTATTGTGTTGTTGTTGTTAAGTGCCATCAAGTTGGTTCTGACTCATAGTGACCCTGTATGGGGTTTCCAAGGAGCAGCTGGTGAGCTTGAACCGCTGACCATGCAGTTCAAACGGCTTTGTAATCTGGTGCATTAACCCACAGCAGCAACCACTTAAAAATTATCTTTAGCAAAATTTTACTTTACGTGGCATTAATATTGTCTGATTATTTCAGCATTCTGTTGGGTCATCTCTCTTAGAAATGGACACATATATGGATCTATTTCAATCAGTTAGACAGGTAGCTGTCTTCCCAATTTCTTGGCATTGATGAGTTCTTGGCATAGATGAATTCTGCCTACAGGGTTGTATCACTTTGTTGAACATTTCAATTTGTATTCCATTAATTTCCAGAGCCTTGTTAATTGTCAGTGTCTTCAGTGAGCTTTCCTTTCAGAGCCATTAGCTCTTGATCATATGTTACCTCCTGAAATTGTTGAACATCAACCATTTCTTTTAGAATAGTAGCGCAATATAAATCTTCCATCTTCTTTTGATGCTTTCTGCATCATTTAGTATTTTGCCCATAGAATCCTTCAGTATTGCAAGTCGAGGCTTGAAATTTTTCTTCAGTTCTTTCAGCTTGAGAAATGCTGAGCGGTTCTTCCTTTTTGAGAGAGGAGCAGGTTCAGCAGAGGCAACTTCTGGCCCCTAAGTTCTCTATATCAAATGATGTTACTATTTTTTACATATCTCCATCCTGGAGTACCTACCGGTCTAGCACTGTAGGATAAGCACTTGACTGCAAAGTCAGTTTGAACCACAAGGTTGGCAGTTCAAACACACCAGCTGTTTCTCGGAAACCCTACCTGGGGTCGCTATGAGTCATCACCAACTTGACAGCACATAACAACAAATCCCAGATCTTGGCTGAAAGCAAAGAATACCAGGAAGATGTTTGTTGTTGTTGTTCCTTATTAAGTGCTGTCAAATTGGTTCCAACCTGTATAGGGCTTCTGATGAGCAGCTGGTGAGTTTGAACCACTCACCCTTTGGTTCAAGCTGACCTTGTGATTTATCCTATAGCATCACAGCTAAGCTTTATTGATTATGCATAGGCTTTTGACTGTGTGGACCATGACAAGCTATGGATAACACCGTGAATAATGGTTGTTCAGAACATTTGATTGTGCTTATGAGGAACCTGCATACACACTAAGAGACAGTCATTCAAACTGAACAAGGGGATACGAAATGGTTTTAAATCAGGAAAGCTGTGTGCCAGGACTGTATTATTTCAGCACACTTATATAATCTGTGTGCTGAACACGTAATCCGAAAAACTGGATTATGGGAAGGAGAGCATGGCATCAGGATTGGAGGAAGACTCATTAACAACGTGCGATATGCAGTTGATACAACAACATTGCTTGGTGAAAGTGTTGTTTCTGTTCAGTGCTGTTGAGTCAGTTCTGACCCATAGCGACCTTGTATAGGGTTTCTGAGGAGAGGTTGGTGAGTTTGAACCACTGATGTTGTGCTGAACGTGTAGAGAACTTAAAATACTTATTGATGAAGATCAAAGATCACAGCTTTCAATATGGATTGCGCTACAATGTAAAGAAAACAAAAATCCTGACAACTGGACCAGTAAGTTGTTGTTGTTGTTGTTAAGTGCTGTCGAATTGGTTGCGACTCTGTGTAGTGTTTCCAAGGAGTGGCTGGTGGGCTTGAACCTCCAATCTTGCAGTTCAAACCCACCTTACAGTCCAGTGCATTAACCCAAGGAGTCTTGGGGATTGTTTACGTTCCCATGACACCTTGCAATGCACAAGATTTGTGCATCACAGAGTTGCCACAGATACTCTTATGTTGCCTGTTCCTGGCACTGTGCTTAGTTCTTCCTGACATCGCTCCACTGAGAATTCCCAGTGACACCTTCATGTGAGGAATTGGGGGCAGTTAATTATGTGCTGGAGTCAGAGGATACACAGGTGGGCCAGAGCTGAGTATAGATGGACCCAAGTTGGTACCTTTCCAAATGCCTTTGTTACAGTGGACTACAGAAACATTTCTGTGAGTTTTGGAATCACAGTGTGATTCCTAAAGCTTCGGTGAAAAGTAATATCAATTTTCTTTCTCTCTACAGATTCCTGTGCTTCTGAACCTGAGCCACGACCCTGAGGTCAATCTTCCTGTGCAACCTCTCATGTATTCACTAGCCCTTGGAGCCTGCCTAGGAGGTAAGAATGCTGTCTGCATCGGTGGGAAAGAGCACAGGGGCCTGTTGTCATGTCAGAAATGAGGAGTTCACTGGTATGAGATTGAACGTAAGTGAAGGAGAGCCTCATGGTGTCCTCAGTGGAAGCACACTGTCAGTTTTGACTGGAGCATTTCTAGAGCTAGCTCAGTTCCCAGGCTATGCCACACTCCTGGTGGAACTGCGTGCGATGTTTCCAGATGCTTGTTGGCCAAGTTAGGCTCGCTGATCCATGGAACATGAGAGTTGAAAACCTTCAGGATGAGGCTTAATGGAAGGTTGGGGTGCCTCCAGACTTTTATCAGTAGAGGTAAAGAGCTTCATAACACTGTCCAAAAAAGGGGAAAGGTTTGGCATGGTGCCAAGGAAGCAGAAAACAGAAGCTGAAGAGATAAGGAGTCTGGGAGGCAGAAATGCCTGAAGATTGGATAGAACCATGATCTATGGAGTCTCAAATTGCAGAGCCTCTGCTGGATGTCCAAGTATAGGGACACAACCTCTTATGTTTCAAGGACTCAGATTTTCACCAACTTGGTTCTGGAGTGTGAGGTTGTCAGACAGATGGGGCCAGATCTACTTCCCCAAAATAAGGTGGCAGGGCTTTCACACCCAAGAGGTATAAAAATAGGGCCTGCCAGGGCCAAGGGTGTGTGGTTGCCACTCAGTTAGACTAAGAGAATTGGGATGACCAAGGTCAAGGAAGCAGTGTTGCTGTCCCCATGGACTGAGAAGGCAGAATAAAGCCAGGAGTGAGGGGCCTCCACTTAGAATACAGAGATCATGGCCCACACTCAGCGTTTAGAGGGACAGGCCTGCTGCCTAGCTGGTCTCAGAGAGCAGGGGATTATTTCAGTCTTTGAGAGGTATTGTAAATTATTCTGCTGGGATTTTTACTAGATTGATACTCTGTATCCTTCCCCTCCCCCCTCCCCCCAATATCTCCTACTTGTAATGGAAATACCTACCTTGTGTGTTCTCCCATTGTACTTTGGAAACATATAACTTGTTTTTCACATTCACAGATGAAAAGGAATTTTATCTCAGAATGGAATCTGGACTTGGAGGAGATTTAAGACTTTGGGGATATGAGGGGGTGAAAGTGTTTTGTATGTGGCAAGCACACAAATTTGGAGGGAGTCAGAAGGCTGGAAGCCCCACCCCAAAATATGTGTCAAGTAGAGTGTCCTACGATTTTCAGTGATTTAGCGTTATGTAATGATGTAATTTGGCAGTCACTTAATCACATAACCATTCCCTTTCGTGATCTGATGTGATCAATTAGTTGTAAAGGGATCAGGGTGTGATGCACTACAAGAGGACAGGGAAGCAAACAGAGGAGGATGGACATCATTACCACCAAAAAAAAAAAGAGAGAGCTCGAAGTGGAGCATGTTCTTTAGACCCAGGGTTCCTTGTTGAGAAACTCCTAGACAAAGGGCAAGATTGATGACAAGGACCTTTCCTATAGCAAACAAAGAGAGAAGACTTACCTTGGTGCCTGTGCTCTGAATTTAGATTTCTAGCCTCCCAAATCAGGAGAATAAATTTCTATGTATTAAAGCTATCCACTTGTGGTATTTCTGTTATGGTAGCACTGGATAATTAAGACACTGGGAATGACAAATTGAAGTGGATATTGAAATAACAGCACTCCCATAGCCAAAAACAATATTTCAGGATCTCTCCTGAAACACAATGCTGTCAGTGATAAGATAATATTCATACACCTACAAGGAGGTTCAATTATGATTATCATTCAAATTTTCCCACCAAGTACTAATGCCAAAGACAAAGAAATTAATACTTTTTACTAACTTCTGAAGTCATATATCAATAAAGATGTATTCAAGATCATTGATAGGACTTCTACAAGCTGGCGGAGTAGGCAGAAATGCTACATAGGCCCTCTACAACAACAGAGAGCAACAGACCTGCTGGGGCTGATGAGTTTATCCTTGGATATTCTTGATTTTCTAAGGAAAAGAAAAAACCCCAAAACAAACCCGACTGTTGAGCACAGGAGATGAACTGTATGAAGATAGTTAATGGGAAAGAGGAGAACGTGTGAAGTATTCAAGGAAATGATTGGCTAAATCGACGGGGATGGTAGCTATGATTGGAGGACATTATTAATAGGCCTTTTGAGGTTAATCCATATTTTAAAAGACATCCAACCAAATGACTATATAAAAGAGCACTTTCCAGTTTGTATAACTGTGTCTAGGGTTGGCCACATAACTGTGTATATGACCAATTGTCACAGTTGTATATAATACCAGCCACATAATTTTGTATAAGACCAATTGTGTATAGGATCAGCTATGTGGTCAGCTGCGTGGATGCCAGCAATGGCAGTGTTTGGAGATTGAGAGGCAGATGATTTGAAGGATCTTCATTCTTGATAATTACATAAGTTAGGGGGATGGGAACAAAATAGTGTCTTTTTACAAGTCATCACTATTTGTTTTTTCCTTGTTTTTTAGTTTATTATTTAAGTCTTTGGTTATAAGCAATAGTGGTCCAACTGAAAACTGGGTTGATCAAGTCTCTGAGAGAGTGTGTTTCTAAATCGGCCCAATTTTAATGAGGCAACCTGATGGTATCAATAGTGCAACTGTTCTTGGCACTTCTTTCTCCCACTTGCTCATCTTCAGAGGGCTGTTCTCTGCTCCAGGTTTTCACTCACAGTTCACCAGTCTGCAGCAGGAGAGAGTCTCAGCCTCACCATGTATGCACAGCTGTCTGTTCTAAGTTGGTTGAGGCTGGGTCATATGCCCCTCTCCAAACACTTGATATTGTGGTTTGGAAGGATGGATGGTATAATTGGCTTCACCAAGCAACGTTACCCTTGCTTTAACCAACCAGTGTGTGTCGGGAGGGTTGTTATTGTTATTGTTAGGTGTCATCGAGTTGGTTCTGACTCATAGTGACCTTATGCACAACAGAACCTAATGCTGCCTGGTCCTTTGTCATCCTCACAATCATTGTGACACTTGAGCTCTTGTTGCTACCACTGTGGGGGTTTTCCTCCTGTTGTTGGCTGATCCTCCTCTTTACTAAGCATGATGTCCTTCTCCAGGGACTGGTTCCTCCTGATAATATGTCTGAAATATGAGAGACTAAGTCTCACCATCCTGGCTTTCTATGGGGCATTCTGGCTGTATTTCTTCCAACATAGATTTGTTTCTTCGTCTGGAACTCCATGGCACTTTTAATATTCTTTTCCAAAACCATAACACAAATACATCAATTCTTTGATGGTCTTCCTTATTCACTGTCCAACTTTCACAGGAATATGAGGTGAGGTGGTTGAAAATACCTGGCTTGGGTCAGGTGCACCTTAGCCCTCAAAGTGACATCTTTGTTCTTAAACACTTTAAAGAGGTCTTGTGCAATGGATTTTAACAGGTTTTGTGCAAAGAAATTTTTGATTAATTGGTGGCTGCTTCCATGAGTATTGATAGGGGGTCCAAGCAAAATGAAGTCTTTGACAACTTCAGTTTTTTCTCCATTTATCTTGATGTTGTTGTTATTTACTAGCCCATTGGTGGGGATTTTTGTTTTATTTACATTGAGGTACAACCTATACTGAAGGTTGTGGTCTTTGATCTTAATTGTTGTTGTTGCTAAGTGCTGTTGAGTCAGTTCTGACTCACAGCAATCATGTACTGGGTTTCCAAGGAGCAGCTGGTGAGTTTGAACTGCCGACATTATGGTTCATACCAACCTTGCTGTCCAGTGCTTTATCTTACACTGTCATACCAGGACTCTATTGTTAAGTGCCATTGAGCTGGTTCTGACTTATAGGGACCCTGTATAGGGTTTCTGAGGAGCAGCTGGTGAGCTTGAAGCACCGATTTTTTGGTTCAAATTGACCTTGCAGTCCAGAGCATTCATTAGTAATCATTTTAAGTCCTCTTGACTTCCAGCAAGCAAGGTTATATCCTCTGCATATCACTAGTTGTTAATGATTCTTCCTCCAATCCTGATGCTGCGTTCTTCATATAATCCAGCTTATTTGCTTAGCATACAACACGAATAAGTGTGGTGAAAGAATACAGCCCTGGCACACACCTTTCCTGATTTTAAGCCATTTAGTGTTCCTTTGTTTTGTTCAAGCGACTGCCTTTTGGTCTATGTATAGGTTCCTCATGAGCACAATTAAGTGTTCTGGAATACCCATTTACACAGTGTTGTCCATATCTTGTCATGATTCACACAGTCAAAAGCCTTTGCATAGTCAATTAAGCACAGGTAAACACCTTTCTGGTATTCTCTGCTTTCAGCCAAAATCTATCTGACATCAGCAATGAAGTCCCTTGTTCCACGTTCTCTTCTGAAACCAATTTGACCTCTGGCAGTTCCCCTTCAATGTACTGCTGTAGCCATTTTTGAATTATCTTTAGAAAAATTTTACTTGCATGTGATATTAATGCTTTTGTCTGATAATTTCTGCATTCCATTGGGTGACCTCTCTTGGGAATGGGCACAAATATGAATCTCTTCCAATCAGTTGGCCAGGTAACTATCTTCCAGATTTCTTTGCATAGCTAGGTGAGTACTTCGTGTATGGAATCATTTTGTGGAAGCATTTCAATTTGTATTCAATCATTTCCAGAGCCTCATTCTTTCGTGGAATGAGAGATATCATTGCTGATGTCCAATGGATCTTGGCTGAAAGCAGAGATTATCAGAAGGATGTTTACCTGTGCTTTATTGACTATGCAAAGGCTTTCGATTGTGTGGATCATGACAAGCTATGGACAACATTGAGAAGTATGAGT